AAACAGGCTATCGGAAATAAATTTTTAAATGGTAAACAAATAATAAGACAAAAAGTTACATTGGAAATAAATTTTAGGGGTTGCGTTTTCTACCCCTTACAACCATGGGGTAAACCAAATGAATTACTGGCTGAGTGTCTTTTTGTTAGTACAAAACGTCAGGTTAATTTCAATATTGTAATTTTTTCAGTGCTTGTGAAAAAAATTGTTATACAATTTTTATGTACCCCCTTTAAGGGGCTGTATCTTAACAAGGGAAGCTCCAATGAAATTTCTTTATAGGAAAAATCCTATCTTTTTTTCGATGAGGAATCACCTCCTTAAATGTTTTACACTCATTCAGTTACACCCTGTATATATGCGTATTGCATTTGTAGCATCTGATTTTCTGTTCTGTTTTATTCATATTCTGTAGGATTAATTAAACACAAGCCTATGGTCAATTGCATCACTGGCTGCTTGCAGCAGAGGTTGCGCAGTAACCGGTTCTTACCATAGGCTCAGCCTCAATTGACCTATTCCTACTTCGAGGTTCACACCAGCAGCAGTGCACAATCGTAATATGGCCAACAGTAATTACCCATCATTTTAATATTCCACCGTCCCTGGTATCACTTCTCCATCTCTTTTATGTCCCGATAAGACCATTTTTCTTGCTCTTCACTCACACCACCTATGTTTTTGGAAAAAAGTCAAGATGATTGTATATAAAGTGGACTTTGAGGCTCATCAAGCCACCAAGAGTTCAAAACTTGTTCATCATGTTAGCTACAATAAGGTTACAGTTCGAGTATTTGGCATTACTCAAAAACTTAGTCACAACTCATTCAAATGATATCCAAGCCTCCTTTCCTTTCCTGATCATCCATTCATTGTTGCTTCATCAATTTATGGATATCAGGCTCGACGAAAATTCATTCTTTCAATTTATCACACGTTAAAAGGTAAGACCTAGTTAGTCCTTAGCTCGCTGAAGTTTCTTAACTTCTGTGAGTTGTCGTTCATATGGGGGCGACAGCTGATTAACGGAAAAACAGATTTCAAACAGAAGATTTTTAAATTCAGCTTCTGATGAATGTGGAATTTTCGCAAATATTCAAAACAATCACCATCTTCAGGCAGAGCTTCAACGAATTGTTTCATCAAACCCAACTTTTCGTGCAGTGGAAATAAAAAAATCTTAAAAGCGCCTCAAGGATTTTCCAGTAGTGCTTGTGTTTTTTCCTTTAACAAAAAGAATATCTGTATACCTTATTTCAGAACTAAAAGTAGAAAAACCGTTTACTGCCGACTGGCCAGAACCAATTTGTACCCTAAGTCACCTATCTTTAGCATTCGTAATAAGTTCAATTTAAATTTCAACAGTTTTCAACTGTTGGATAATAAAGGCTATTATTATTAGTAGTATCATCACTATACATTGCATAGACTAGATTCAAATAACACTCCAATGTTTGAATTTCCAACCAACCATT